AGAGAGAGAGAGAGAGAGAGAGAGAGAGAGAGAGAGAAGAAAAGAGGTGGAAGGAATTGGAGCAAGAGAAAAGGAAGGGGGAAGGAGAGAAGAAGAGGAGAGAGAGGGAGGGAGGAGAGAAAGAGGGAGAAGGAGAGGGAAGGCAAAGAAGGGGGAGTGGAGATGGAATGAAGGGACAGAAATAGGGGGAGGGAGAGGAGGAGGAGAGAGACAGAGACACAGAGGCAGAGAAGGAGAAGTAGTCTCCAGGACAATAGGATACAGGGTAGTACCAAAAGCCCTCTCAAGCCAGAGAGCCTACATTGGGGGTTCACTGGAGTCAGCTCAAACAGGCTGGAGAGAATGGATTGCTAAATTTTCATTGTGAACATTTACACCACGGAATTCAGCAAATGTACAAATCAGGGCTTGATTTACTGTGTTGCTGACTGTCTAAACTTAAGACAGCAATAGAGAAGATGTGAATACAGATTAAATGGACATGTGGGTTCTGTGTACCTTCCCCTGCCCCACCCGTTTCCCAGCTCTTGATGTTTGTTGCTTGTGGCCTTGCACAAATCACATCTTCTCTCTCGGCTTCAGTTCCCTCATCTATCAAATGGGGAGGGGGTGTTGAACTAAGTGGTCTCTCAGATCCCTTCTGGCTCCAGGTCTGTGGGCAGCAAACAAAATGCTCCTCTCACTTTCCCTTTCACCATGCATAGAAATGGAGCAGAAGATATCTCATGATCATTGCTACTAGGACACAAGGCAGGGTTCTTTGTGGGCTTTGGAGAGGGAAATGTTTATATATTGTGGCTCTGAAATAGTTAGCTTGATTCTATAAAGCCACAGAAAAATCAGTCACATTCCTGAGAGCATTGGAGTATGGTGAAGTGAGCCCTGGACATTGAACCTGGTATTTTAGATCTATTCTTTAGTAGCTGAATGCTTTGAGAAAGGCCCTGGTCCTCACTTTCATCATTTATAAAATGGGAGTGATAACGCCTGTCCCATTTATCACTTGGGGCTATTTTGAAAAACAAATACAATAATGGATCCATTATTAATCTATCACTGCAGATGTACTAACCTTTATGCTGTGGTGATAGAAAATGAATTTTAGTAAAGAGAATTTTTGCAAATCAAGTCTTCATTTCAGAGACGTTTTTATCTTTATTTCTTATGGCTTTTCACTTGAAAGGGAGTCCTAATGCTTCAATATTAAGTTTCTCTGCCTTCATTCATCTTCATAAAGTTATTTAGCAACCCATACATTAGAATTTCCATGCAATAAGGAATAAAGTTATTTATTAAATAACTTTTCTAAGGAATCCCTTGGTGATTAATATAATCATATCCCAGTTGATCAGTCTTAAAATTTTCAGAGAGTTTGGGGACTGGGTGGCATATGGAGGCATGCTTTCATTTTGCCTCTGAATTATTAAGTACATATAAAAAGACAGATTAGACTCTTGTATGTTCTAGTCTAGACAAAATCCTGTGCTTGATTGTCTTGTTAAAAAAGAGAGAGAGAAAAAAACAAAAACAAAATAGGCAGTAGAATAGCGGAGGAGAGAAAGGACCTTCAAAGTGACTTGTTAAGGTCAGCCCAAAGTCAATCCCTGCCTGCCTTTTCAATCAAATAGTTGTTACTATACATGGAGAACACTGCTAGAAGGTACATGGAAGCTATTCTGTGATTTTCAGAAGTGAAAAAGAACCATTGGGAATTATTTGTTACTGTATGAATCACTTTCTCATGTAAGACTGATAGAAACTCTCATCTGAAATAAAATATATAAAACATTTTGCAAACTTTAAAGTTCTATGTGAGTACTAATTATTATTATTGTTGTTAAGTACATCTGGAATGTAGTTATCAGTTCTGGGTGACACATTTTAGGAAAATTTTGACAGGATGGACCATGTCCAGAGGAGGGAGATGAAGATGTCAAGGGCACTTGAAAATATCTTGGAAGGATTTAGCGAAGCAACCGGGGAGCTGGAGAAACTTTAATTAAGGGGGCATGATTGCTGCATGTGAACATTGGAAAGGCTGGTATGTGGAAGAAGGATTAGTTATGTCCAGTGTACCTTTTAGGGGAACAACTACTTTGTGATCAATGAGTAGAAATTGCTGGGAGCTAGATTCAGTCTAAAATAAGAGAGAACTCTGTGAACAGAACTGTCCAATTAGGCTGACTTGAAGTAGAAGTAGCCATCATTGATAGTCTGCTTACAGAGGGTGAACAACTCTGTGAGCACAGGATAGAAGGATTCATTTATCAGAGACGAGTTGGACAGATTGACTTCTTATTTCTCTTCTAGTGCTAACATTCTGTGGCTATGACTTCATGTAATATTCTACAGTAGTGAGTCTTTTAAGTTTGACTTACATTAACTAAGGGTGGGACGGCTAGGTGAATAGAGTGCCAGGCCTAGAGTCAGGAAGATCTAGAGATCAAATCCAGCCTCAGATAATTACTAGCAGTATGACCCTGGGCAAGTCACTTAACCCTGTTTGCCTCAGTTTCCTCATCTATAAGATGAGATGGAGAAGGAAATGGCAAATCAATCCAGTATCTCTGCCAAGAAAACCCCAAATGGGGTCACAAAGCATCAGACATGGCTGAAACAACTGAACAATAACAACAAAAATTAAGGGTGATTCTTACCTGGCCTCCAAAGTCTACCAAGTGCCAGCATTTCCCTGGCCACTCAAGGGAGAGTTCACCTCGGAATAGAAATAATTTCTTGCTGCTTCAGTTTGGCTCCATGGAAGTAAAACAGACATGCAATAAAAGCAATACCTGACTGCCCTGATGACCGACTTGAGTGTGGGGATCATGTCTTCTATGAGGAATTCATTACTGTAGCCCCGTTCTTCAGTCATGGGTTCTCCGGTCCCGGCATCTAAGAAGTAGGATACAAAAACCTAAAAACCAGGTCATAGAACCCTGTGGGGCTTAGAGATCTCATCACATTAGCATTCTGGAGAGGCAGTATGGCATACTAGACTTGGAGTCATAAAGACCTGGTTCAAATCCTGCCTCAAATACTTATTAACGGTGGGACAATGGGGAAATTATTTAAAATCTTTGTGACTCAGTTTCCTTATTAGTAAAATGAGGAGTTTGGTCTCTATGGCCTTTTAGCTTTAGGATTATTTTTTAAAATGATTTCAGTTAATTAAAACTAGACATTTTTAGCTGTAGAGTTCAGGATTGTGAGGCATATGGGATTTCTATCTAGAAGATTTGGGCTCAGGGATTGCCTTCACCATTTGCTAACTGTAAGACTTTAGGCATCTAATTTAACTTGTCTGGGCCTCAAGTTCTTCACCTGTAAAATGGGGATAAGAATACTTGAACTAGAAAAGACATCAATGACTGCCTAGTCCAAGTGCCCTCATTTTGCAGGTGGAGGTCAAAAGAGGTTAAGTGATAAATACCATTACCCAAGGCCACATAGGAAGTCAGAGGCAGAGCTAGGATTCAAACCTGGGTCCTCTGAATCCAGATCTAGCCTACTACCACATACTGCCTCAAGCTCTGTATGTCTCTCCTCCTCCCCAAGTGCCTAGGGCAGTGCTATGTACACAGAAGGTGTTTAATACATGTTTAAAATGGCTAACATTCTGTTTAAATACCTTGGCATGGCGTGGAGGTGAACCAGTCATTTCAGGTTATGCCAATGAAGCTCACTCTTAGATGGGGTATTTAAGTTGAAAATGGTTTGAGTTCTATATGTTTGTCATCCAAGGTTAGCTAAGTTTGGAGAGGCTCATCCCTGGGGACTTATCATTGGTGATTGTTATTGTCATTATTATTATTATTATTATTAGCCACAAATAATCACAAAGACTATCTATTGAGGAGTAGAAGGGTTGTAATTTGTGTTGGTGGTTAAACACATCCCTGGAATCATAAATTCTCCAGAGAGCAGAGTAAGAAATCTTATTAATATTATTTATGTGTGTATTTATATATACTTAATATTATTTGTGTGTACTATATATACATATGTATATATGTATGAATAGAACTGTATTTGTGTGTATCTATATATGTACATGTATACATGCACATATATACACATATGTATATATACATATATGCACATAAATTTATGTGCATATACCTGTATATGTATATGTATAAATTTATATGTATATTCCTGTATGTGTATGCTTATATGTGTGTGTCTGTGTGTGTGTATTTCTGTTCCCACTATTAGACTGTGAATTCCTAAAGGTACTGATCACATCTCGTTCACTTTCGGACACTATAATGTGCCTAGCGCAGTGCTATGTTCATAGAAGGCAGCTGATAAATATTCATCAATTGAGTTATTGAGTCAGCGCCTGTTGAGACAGCCTGGTGTCATGGATAAAGTACTGGGCTTGGAGTCAAGAAGACCTGGGTTTGAATTCTGCCTCACTAGCTGTGTGTCTCTTAACTTCTCTGAGCCTCAGTCTCCTCATCTGTAAATAAGTGGGTTGGACTTGATAAGGACACATTCTGCTCTAAATCTGTGATCCCATAATTTATATTCTCTAAATTCTCAGTGAGTGGAGGTGGTGTTGCATCTTAATCTAATACACTCCTCAGAAAGGAAAAAAAAGTGTCCTCATCTAACATTGTCTCTTCAGACATTCTTATTAATGTGGCTCTATCCTAGCCTTCTCATGGGATGGTTTACTGACTTTAAGACTCCTTTTCCAGCTTAAGTGAAAATTCAGTTCTGGAAGAATGTTGCCACTGGGTGTATGGGATTCTACACACAGACTTCCTTCTCTCTCCCAACCCCCACTAATAATAGATGTATCTATAGAACTTGAAAGCTTGCAAATAACTTTTTGAACATTATTTCATTTGAGCCTCATAAGAACCCGTGAGACAGGTACTCAGCATATCATCTTCATCTTCATCTTCCAAAGAAATTGAGGTGAGGCTCAGAGAGGTTAGTTACTTGTCTAGGGTCACAGAGAAAAGAAGTGTAAGAGTCAGGATTTGATTAGCATCTTCTCTTGACTCCAAGTCAACCCTCTATCCATGACAGCATGCTGCCTTTCCCCATTCACTGTCCCCTGATGCTGGAGGCTCTTGAAAAATGGAGGCACTGTAGCCTTCCTCAGACATAAAGTAGTATACTTGGAATCAGGAAGACTTTGGTTCAAATACTGCTTTTGTCATTTACTTTACTATGTGTCCTTGAACAAGTCCCTAGACATCTTTGAGCCTCATTTTCTTCCTCTGTAAAAGGAGTATAAAAGTTATATGCCCAAGAAGAGTCTCAAATAAGATAATATAGAGAAAGCTTGTTGAAAACTTTATACAGCACTTGACAAATGGTAATTATTGTTATTAAATGCATCTGCCTGACTGGGATATTTCCTGAAAACTTCTCTCTTAATTTTTTTTGGGGGGGGAAGGATTTCTCCTACCCTTAAATGCTTAATGAGAATGCCAAAAATTGGGGTGGAGTGTTGGAATTAGTCAAAGTTGGAGGGAATGAGCTATTTTGAAGATGCTGGGCAACTTCATAGATATTTCAATGGAAGTGAGCTCGGAAGGAATGGAGGAAAAGTGAGAGGAAGTTGGAGGAAGGAAGGGAAGCTGGGGTTACCTTCAGAGCTCTGCCAAAAGGCGTATGCTTTCATTCGGAATGCAGTCCGAAAACGTTCCTTATTGTTCAAGCCAACATTTTTTGGCTCTTTAGAAGGACTTTCTTCTATGGCATCTACATTCAGAGGGGTAAATAGCTTTCCTTTAGTATTGGTACCACGAGGATTAGAAAGTCGAACCCGATCCAAGAGACCCAGCTTTTGGCTACAAAATAAGCAAAAGTGAACAATTTTCCTCCTTCAGTGAAGGCTCTTAACATTGCATGTCCATCCCTGTTATGTACCTTATATTCTAAGATCCCCTCACATATCCCCAGGAGAAGGGAGAAATGTGCTTTGTGAAGAATTCTAAAGATAGAGAGGGGTACCCTTTTTGGGCGTTAAACATGTCAAGTCCTTTGAGGGTGGGGGGGATTTCAAACAGATGATCATATTGACTGACATATTATACAAAGATATGAAATGTGAGAGACATTTGCTTTTGAAGTCAGAGCCCCAAATATTTTAGCTCTGTGTTTGTTGCAGGGACATTTTTGCACCTTTCAAAGAGCATCTCTCTCTGTAAACACCATGGACTTCTTCCTCACAGGAAATAAAAATGGCTACCATTGGAACTATTTCCCCACCTTTCCAATTTTTTTTCTGGTAACTTTGATAGAATTTAATAACAAGGATTTATTATACACCTGCTGTATGCTGTGATAGGCAGGTAGGTAGATACAAAGATAAAAATAAAGTAGTCCCTGCCCTCAAGGAGCTTACATTCTAACAGTGGTGGGGAGTTGGGAGGAAACGACATGTATATAGATAAGTGAATACAAAAAAATATATATATTATATATATTATATATATATAAATATGCAAGGTAAATGCAAAATAATTTTGGGGATGAAGAAGGAGCTACCCTTGCATGATAATGGGGTACATTAAAGACAGGCCTCATTACACAGCCAGGATCTTTGTAGACTGAGGTAGGGTCAAACCAAAGTAAGAAGTGGGACAACTGAGATATCTCCTGATATAGGAAAGGTCCTTACTCAGCTGTCTCAGAATACATGATGGGTACCTGTATGTCGGCTGTGTTTACTACCAGTTACTAAATACTAGGATACCTACTATCTACCCATTATTCAGTCATGTTTTCTTAAGATAGATGATTAATTCTTAAATGGAACTATTCAGGACATAGGCATTCAGATGCTATATAATCTGCAAGTCCAGTTTTTTCTTGGTGTTGTACTTTTTTTTCTCCTGGGCATGATAATAGCGATACATACTCCCATAATGCTTTATAGTTTGTGAAGCACCTTCCTCAAAATAACCCTGTGATATAGGTAGGGCAAGTATTATTCTATCTATTTTACTGAAGTGGAAATTGAGGCTTTGAGAACTCAAAGAGAATTTGCTCATGATTAAATGACTATTAAATATCAGAAGTTAGATTTGAACCCAGATCTCCTGACTCCACGTCCAGCATCCATCTTCATGACAATATTCTGCCTTACTGGGAATAAGAGTTCATTAAATAACACTTTTTTATCTCTCCCAGGAAATCCTACACTGCTTTGCATTTTACTTATTAGAGTCTGCATCATTTCCCTGAGGGCAGGGACTTGTGTCATATTGGTCTATGTATGTTTCTTAGAGACAGCTAGTGGTGTAGTAGATAGAGCACTGGACTGGAGATCCCTTCCCAAGAAGCCCTGAGTTCAAATCTGCCTTCAGACACTTACTGGCTGTGAGCTGTGTATCTTGAGCAAGTCACTTAATCCTTGTTTGTCTCAGTTTCAGCTATAAAATTGAGATAATGGTAGCAACCATAGGGGTGCTGTGAGAATAAAATGAGGTCATATTTGTAAAGCACATAGGAAAGTGCCTGGCACATAGCAGGCACTATATAAATGCTTATTTTTTCCCTCTTTCCTCTCCCTTCCTTGTATGATCAGAGCTTAGCACATCATGCAATCATGGTATCATGCTAAGCTCACTCTATTTAGAGTCAGACAGACTGAGCTCCCCCTACCAGTCAAGTGACTTTGGGCAAGTCACTTAACCTAGTTATGGGTCTCAGTTTCTTCACCTGTAAAATGGGCATAATAATTCATGCACTATCTACTTTATTGGATTGCTGTAAAGACTAGACAAGATAGTAATTGTTAAGGACTTAGTGAACTCTAAAACAACACATGAATTTTAGCAACTGAGGCATCTAGGTGGATAGAGTCCTGGAACTGGAAAGATTTTAGTTCAAATCCTGCTTCAGATACTAGCTGTGTGACTCTGAGCAAGTCACTTAACCTCTCTCATTCTCAATTTCTTCATCTGTAAAATGGGGGGGATAATAATAGCACCTATCTCACTGGGTTGTTATGAGTGTCAACTGAGATAATATAAAGTTTTCTATTAATCTTAAAGTGATAACTAAATAGTTATTATTATTAGTTCTTGTTTTTTACTCACTCTTTGGACTGGATTGGTTCTGAAATATAAGTACCCACCTTTGACACAACCCACAACCTCCAGTCTCTCCTGAAGGGTGCATATATCTGGATTTCTGAAGAGTCAAATTGATTACAGTTATGACTGTAAAGTAGGTATTGCCAAGGTGATAAAAATCCCAAGGACCAACACTTCCCCCTGGTCATAGATGGAAGATTAAGGCATTGACCAGTTGGATATAAGGTCCTTAGCTATTTTCTATATGACTGGCAGTGGGGTTTTTCTGAAATGCCCTCATGACAAGATTTGGATGGAAGGATTGTTCTGCATAGTCAAATCACTGTCAGAAATCCTGCAGTCTTGGATTGCTCTGTGCCTCCACATAACTAATAGCTAATATTTATATAGCACTTTATGACTTGTAAAGCACTTCACAAAATACCATATCATTTGATCCTAACATCAATCCTGGGAGGTAGATAATATTATCATCTTTAGTTTACAGATGAGGAAATTGAGGCAGATGAGGTTAAGTGACTTGCCTAGGGTCAGACAGCTATTAAGTATCTAAGACAGAATTTGAACTTAGATCTTTCTGATTCCATATTCACTGAGTCACCTAACTGCCTCATATAGTGAGGTTAGAGGTAGTCTGTGAGATACAGTGTGCAAAGCACTGGGCTTGGAGTCAGAAGACCTAAGTTTGAGTTCAGACACCATCACATAACAGCTGTGTGAGTCTGGAAGGGTTGTTACCCTTTTTGGATTTCAGCTGTTTATCTGTAAAACGAGGGGAGTGGCCACCCAAGGATGGCATCTGTAGTCAATCCCATTGTATAGAGCAGAGCAAATATTGAATTTGGAGTCAAATTATCTCTTTTCAAACCCAGGCTCTGCTACTTGTACTGCCCATGTAACTTTGGAGAGGCCACTCAATTTCTCTGGTCTCTTAGCACCTTCATCTGTAAAATGACAAAATTGGATTTGATTCTATGAGTTTTGATGCCCCTCATGTCTCTCTATTCTCTGGTCCTGTCTCTAGTTAAGCTCTAAATTCTCTTCCATATCTATAACTAAATCTAACCTTTGGTGATCTAACTGATGAATTTTTAAGTTGGATTCATTTTGGAATCATTTTTTCACCAGAGTTATAGATACAGCCAGGGCTGCGTAGAGATGGATAGTTTCATGGGGAAGATTGGAGACAGACATTGAAACCTAATTGCTTACTAGACTGTAAGTTTCTTGAAGGTAAGAATGGTATTAAATTCATCTTGGTTTTCTTATTATCTTACAGTGTTTTATGCCTCAATGAATATTTTACCAGTGAATGAAGCATCTCTTATGTTTGCATAAGCCAGATTCCAAGTGATGAACAGAGTTATTGAAATTTATACCTTTTCTATGCAATTATCATACTCTATTTTGGATTATGATATTTCTGAAGTTGCCTCATCTTGTCTACTGAACTGAAGCTTCCAGGAGGGCAGGAGTCCTTTCTTATTTATCTTTATATCAACCCTTAGCAGCTGACAGAATAGTAGTCACTTAACTTTTTTTTAAATTGGATTCCTTAGAAGAGAGCATTTGAAATGGAGGAAACAAAATGAAGAGGGATATTTTGCTAGAGCATGGAAAGCATTGGGTTATGAATTTCAGTGGGCTCTTGATATGGATTTAGTAATTTATAGATTTACTTAAGCTAGCTGTAGAGTACAGGAAGGCTGACCACACAACAGCATGTCAGGAGATAAGTGTGTATAGAGTGTATACATAGACCATGATAAGGTGCTTAAAGTAAGATTCATTGCAGATGCTTGGTCCTGATTCTAAACCCCCATGTGTGACTTTGGAATAGATGAGCTAGGGCAAAGAATCTCTGGAGGTGGGTGCTGGGTTTTTTGGCACTGAAACAGCCCACTGGATGCAGGTCATACCAATATTATTACCTGTACTATTGGGTTCACCTCTATTTACTTCATACAATATGGGTCCCAGATGATGATTTTTGAGCGTGGGGTGAACATGTTGTCAGAAATTGAAAGCACTCAAGTCTGTAATCTAATATCTGCTGCGAATTACTCCTGGTTATTATAGCACAAGTGGCTTAAGTTCTTTCTGCAGCAGGGGGAGAGATCTTTTTGCTTTCTAATTGTGTTACTAGAAAATGAATACCTAAAAGGATGGATGATCAGATAGCAGAAAGATTCATCCCCTGAGCCACAATAGCTATGTCTTCCCTTTTCGGTATGGCTTTCAAGTGAATAATTCTAGCCTTGTTCTCTGTGGGCATGGCAGGGTCTAGCATGACAAGCTCATCTCAGAAATGGTGCCTGATTTCTAGGAGCCTGCCTTGGAAGGCTTTTAAACACAGAGAAACCAATAACAAAGGCTAATTGAGTCCAGTTGAAAAGGGAGCTGGAGCTAGAGAAGAGAGAATGAAAGCCTTTTCATTCTGAATGGTCCAGGGCCTAATAAAACACAGTGAAGCTTAACTTCTACACCTTGGATGGTCATGATTGTCTCTGAGAAATAGGTAAAGAAAGACTGTCTTAATAAATAAATCTAAGAAAGCATAAGAAAAAGAAGTCAAGTTACAAAGAAAACCTAAATTTTTTTTTATTTTTTGTCTAAAGAAAAGAGAGTGTGAACAAAAAGTACAATCTTTATCCTCTGGGTTTTATAAATGTATGTCTTTACTATACAACTCTCTATGATTACAGGGTTCAGAAAAGGGGCCAGCCTGTCTTGGTAGAAGGCTGTCC